GTTAAAATAGATCCTTTTCCTACTAAAATTCAGATTTAAAGCTTTTGGTATTTACCTCCTTTTTTATAAATTTGCTTTTTTGTTCCTTAATAACCCCTTTAAATTACTGTATATTTATATTATTATATGATTTTTATTTATTAATGTTAAAACTAAATCGTCATCGATACTTTTATGAAAAATATACTTTTCTCTTGCTTTTGTTTGTACTAATTATTCTCTTGTTTTTTCCCGATGTTTGTATTTATGAAAAATATAAATAGGCCTTGCTTTTATTATGAAATAATAGTTATTTAGATATAAAATATAAATACAAACAAGAAGAACGATGGCTAGGGGGAGGTCTAACATTTTTTAATAAAAAAGAGGTATACATGAAATACTAAAATTGATAAGTCGGGGTATATTACACTCCTATATATTTTATATTATTAATTTATCCCTATTTATTTTCTTTAATTTTTTTTTTGTTTTTGTTTTTAACATTGAAAAAATTTTAAAGCTATTTTTTTTTACATTCCTTTATAGAGGAGATAGATCCTCAACCCCTTTGAATATAATTTATTTATTTATTGGGTATTGGAAAATTTATTTGATATATTGATTAGTTTCCATTAATTTTATTGGTTATTGATATTTTGTTATATCGCTTGATTTTCTATTTTAATATTTGGGGGAGTATAGTTTTTGTTTAAAAAAAAAATAAAATTCTATAGTTTTTGTTTAAAACTTTAATTTATATTTTTCTATTACCGTTTGTACCTTATGGTTATTATTTTTACTTTATATTTTACTTTTGCTCTTGCCTTTTGTAGAGCAAAAGCAAGAGAATATAAAGTAATAAAAATTACAAACCAGTTCTTGCTTATTTAATCGCTAGAAGGCAACTAAAAAATAAAAAAAAAATAAAATTTTAATATTTTTAAAACAAAGCCTTTTATTATAAAAATAATATTGCAAAAAAAAATAATAAATATATGATTTTAAATAATGTAAATTTAGTTTGTTTAAATGTTGGTTGGCTTAATGAGTTATGTTTTAATATAGTACAAAATTTAAGTATATTTAATATTATTTTATTATTTAGTGTTGTTGGGGTCCTTTTTAGATTTCATTTTTTACTTTATATTCTCTTGCTTTTGCTCTACAGGCAAGAGCAAAAGTAAAATA